ACTTAATTATTATCTTTATAAAATGTTATATTATTAAACCAAAAATAATTATTTCGTTATTAAACTTAAATTAAATTATAATAAATAAAATAAATTAAAGAAATTACGTAAAAAATGAAAACTTTTAAATCTATACTATATTATAAATTATTTGACGAAACTCTTAAAAACCATTTTTATGCATAAAGTACTGTTTATTAATGCATATTACTTACAACTTAAGATTACAAGTACATTGTGCATAAATACAACTTATTAAAGCTTCATATCTGAATTCGTGTAATTAACTGCAGATAAATATAAACATCTCATTTTAAATATAAAAAATCTAAAATATAATTAGGATAATTATTGAGTTCTAACAGAATACTTATTTAGTATCTTTATAAAATGTTATATTTTTAAATCAAAAATAAATTATTTTRTTATTAAACTTAAATTAAATTATAATAAAAAAATTAAAGAAATTATATAAAAAATGAGATTTTTTAAATAGTTGATTTGATATTAGCATTGATATATTTTTTTTTTCAAATTTTTATAATATCTTCAACTTTATATTGTACTCAAAAATAAAATCATTATTGCTTTCTTAAAAAGACATAAAATCGTATCATAACATCGACAAAGACAAATAATAAAATAAAACATTAAAATCGAGATGTGTCTCGCTGCATTGCGCGAGATACTCTTCTAGTTATACTATAAAATATTTAGGTTAAACTCTAAAAAAATCAATTTTAATACATTGAGTATTGTTTAATGATGTATATTAATTGCGCAAGATACTCTTCTAATTATATTATAAAATATTTAGGTTAAACTCTAAAAAAATCAATTTTAACACATTGAGTACTGTTTCATGATGTATATTAATTGAAACTCAAGATTACAAGTAAATAGTGCATGAGTACAAGTTTCTAAAGTTATATGTTAAAATTCAAATAACTAACTGATAAATATAATCAAATACATAATAAATATCTCATTTTAAATATAAAGAATCTAAAATATAGTTTGGATAATTATTGGATTCTAATGTTTAATTTTTATCCTTATAAAAAATACTAGAAGCGTACTCGCGCAATGCAGCGAGATATATCGTGATTTTAATATTTCATTTTATTCTTTATCTCAGTCGATGTTATAATATGACTTTACGTGATTTTGAGAAAAAGATGATGTTTTTATTTTTGAATAAAATATATGTTTGAAGATATCACAAAAATTTTACAAAAATATATCAATATTAGTATCAAATTAACTATTTAAAATTCCTCATTTTTTTGTGTAATTTTTTAAATTCAATTTTTTTATAATTTAATTTATATACAATAACGAAGTA